TGTCTAGATGGATCAAGTTTTTTATTATTCTTATGCTCGTTTATTCTGGTGTTCAATTTTCTTTTAGTTTGTCCCACATAGGTTGCGTTACAATTGCTACATGGGATCTTATATACCATATTATTACTATTACCTATTTCTTTTTTATCTTTGAGTGTTTTTATAAAACATATCTAATTTTTATTCAAGCATCTGTAACCTATGTTATAAAGAGATTTGTTGAACATATTTGTAACTGATTGTGTTATACCGTGGATAAACGGGGTTTTGTACGGCTGAGGATGACTTTGTAAAGTCGAAACGTTCCGAATTAATATTACTGATTGTAATAAATTTATTGAATTATAATAACAAATATAGCTCATTGTTTTTTAACCTGGGAAGTACTAATTTTTAAAAATTCAATGGATAAATTTGTAGACTTATAAGATAGACCCAGCATGCTCTTATGATAGAAATTAATTCAACATAACAGTAAAAGTGAGTAAGAGCAAAAACAACGGTGAAGTATCTCTATTCTTCTCTATTGCAGTGAATATGTGCGAGTGTGAGAAGAATAGAGATTCTCCAATGTTTTGCATCTCTTACTGTTCTGTTGGCTTCACTTCTATCATAGAGACATGCTGGATCTATCTTATAAGTCTATGAATATGGATAAATTACATAATATAATATGATAAATTGCCAACCTGCTCAAGTAACTTATCTGTATCTTCTAGAGAACAAGTAAATGTTTCACCAATATTAACAAAATTGTCGCAAAATCCATACGAAGAAACATTTTTATTCACAGCCATTTGAAAGAACATTTCTACACGAGCAGAATAAATACGTAGAGACATTCCTAATTTAAAAACTGCTATCTCAGATTGAGATAGATACTTTTGAGCCAATTGTAAAATTATGTTATAATTGTCTTGCTGTGAACCTGTTTGAAATAATTAGAGAAATTGAGTATAAAGAGCTTGCACTTTTAACTCAATTGAAAAATAACAATCAAATAATAACATAATTACGTGGTGTAGAATGTTTAATTATTTTGGAATATGATTCAATAAATTTCCAAAAGTAGCTTGGATTCTCATCGCTAAGATATTCAGCTGCTTCAAGAACAAGAGGCGTTTCTTTCCATTTGGCATTTATTAAAGTTGTTACGTATTTGTTAATTTTCTTGTCTGCTCTAAGTTGATAGGAGCATAATGAGAGTATGTAAAACAATATGAGTCCCCTCATCTGCAACAAATAGGAAAGAAATCAAGATCATCAACAAATTGTTATTATAAATCTTCTTTGAACAATAAAATTTTAGTAGAAAGACACGTCTTTTTTTAGAGAGAAAATCGAGTGTTTTATCAGTAAAATTTTGCAAATCTTCACTGAATTCACTATGAATCGTACTTCATACACACATATGTCATGAATATACAGGATGATAAGAGACAAGTTGTCTAAAGATGCACGATAAAATCTATATGTGGTATCTACATGTAAATTTAATATTTCATTGATCACAAACAACCGTGGGGTGTCGATCTTGTCGACACAGCCTAGGTTTAGACAAAAAATGACACTGTATACATATATCGCATATACCTTGAAAAAAATGACTAAAGTTATCTTAGCTACGAAAAATGCATTGATGACTACTGCTGATCCACCCGGTGCACGTACCACATACACAATAACTTAGAATGGTAACTGGAGTAATTGGATTTAACAGCAATTATCATCCGGCAAATATAAGATCACACACTAGGCAAAGAAAAATGTGTGAGAACGGCCATCCCGACCATCGACATATAGGTTGCGTTCCGAAATTTGACTCTGTCAACTCCGAGTATATTTATCTTTGTTCAACATTCGGCGAACAACAAGGATGAAAGATACTCAGGGTGCAAACCCATGCAGCGGAATAGCAGAACGCGGAACGAGAGCGGAACCAATCACGAGCGTTCACGTTTCTCAACCATTTTTAGGTTAGGAAATCTGTCGTCATTAATACTGACAATGTGTAATAACTAATAATCACGAACGATCACGTTTCTCAAGCATTTTTTGATTAGGAAATCTGTCATTAATAATGAGTAATAACTAATAATTTATCTCTGTACTCACTACGTTGTTATTCCGTCAGTTTTGTTACGTTGAAACGTGAACCCATGCAGCGGAATAGCGTAAGGGAGGGTTCACACCTTGACGGAAAAGCGGAAAGCGGAAGAGCAGTTAACCGATCAAAACTCGTGCTGGTAGTAAATAGTACAAAACTAACAGAAAGTCGACTACCTGATTGGCTACTGCTTTTCCGCTTTCCGTTTTTCCATCAAGGTGTGAACCCGCCCTAACGCGGAACGAGAGTAGAACCAATCACGAGATTCTCTAGAAACACGGAATGCTCGTTATTGGTTCTGCTCTCTTTCCGCGTTACGCTATTCCGCTGCATGGGTTTGCACCCTTAACTAAGAGCCCCAACACACACTTTTGCATAACGCATAAAGCATGTGCTTAAGGAATTTCATTGGCTCATTTTCTTATGCATGAATCAATGGACCAATCAAATTTTTTATGTATATGGTTTATGCGTTATGCAAAAGTCTGTGCTCCCCGCTTAAACCATGCGAATTTGATTATCTTTATGAGAAACAATCTGGTGGTGCTGGCCAATATGCTCGCATAACTGGAATTATAGAGGTATAAATAATAGATTTGTATCATTAATATTTATTGATATTATTCATCGAGAGCCCTTAACTTTATCAAACTCAATTATTTGTTTGATTCCAAAGTGATCAGGCTTAAGCGGGGAGCACAGACTTTTGCATAACGCATAAACCATATACATAAAGAATTTGATTGGACTCATGCATAAGAAAATGGACCAATGAAATTACTTATGCACATGCTTTATGCGTTATGCAAAAGTCTGTGCTCCCTGCTTTAATCAGGCTTGTCCGATCATGTAATGAAATTTTTCTCGTTCGACTCGTTCTTTCTTTCGATCCCCTCTCTCAGAATATATGGCTATACGCATGCGCGAAACGAGAGAGAACGAAAAGGCCCAAACATGGACATAGAAATATTGGGACAGAGCATTAGCTCCGAAGATAGGCGAGGGGGGTTATTCTGAAATGCGGGGGGAGTACATGCCTAAATTTTATTGGCTACAGCTATGCGCATGCTCAGTATCGTGTAACATCGATTCAGCGGCCAATCGCAAATAAATAATCGAAACAAAATGATAAAAATTTGTTGTTAAAAAATTAATTGTAACCCATTAACAATAAGATTAACAAAATAAAACAATAATTAGAAATCTGAGAAGGAATTATATAGAAGTTCTAATGAGAAAAATAAAAATATGTACTCATATTCAATATTAAACAATTACTATTTATTTGGTACTTTTATTCACTATGAAAAAATTTACTAAATTTTAATAAATATTTCTTTGAATAGTTCCAGCGAAACATTTAATAAATTTAAAGACGTATTTATTAGATCTAAGAATCATTAGTTTGAATCAACTATCATTTTTTTCATTTATCTAAATATTTATTTACCATAAGCCATAAGTAAATATTCCATTAGGACACTTTAAAGAAATATTTATTAAAATTTAACACCACAAATTTTTTTCTTAGTGTAGATAAAAAGAATACAAATTAGGATTTTAGATTTATATAGATAGATTATATAATACTACGTAGAATAAAAATTATAGAATTGAATTTTTCCATAACATGTGATATTGCTTGAAAATGTGAAACCAAAATTTGTTATACTCTTCTCGAGAGTAACATTTATAAAAAAAAAA